TGTGTGTGTGTGTGTGTGTGTGTGTGTGTGTGTGTGTGTGTGTCCCTTCATTTACACCAGCAGAAGCGGTTGCCTTTGTTAGACTTGATGCTGGAGGGCTCTGCTTTCCTGGCTTCCCCTCCGAAAGGTCAATAGGAATGATTTGTTGCAGCTGCAGTTGGTAGGTGATGTCAAGTTGGTTCCAACTTTTAGCGACCCGGTGCACCACCGAACTAAACACTGCCTGGCCCCACACCATCCTCACAAGAGTTGTTATGTTTGAGCCCATTGTTGCAGGCACTGTGTCAGTCCGTCTTGTCGAGTGGCTTCCTCTTGGTAGCTGCACCTTAACTTTACTAAGCATGGTGCCCTTTCCCAAGGACTGAGCTCTCCTCGTATGTAACGTGTCCAAAGTACGTGAGATGAAGCCTTGCCGTGGTTTCCTGAATGGCTTACAAGACAGCCGATAGCCTGAGAATTATCGCTCTATTATTTTTGCCAAGGAGTAGTTTGAATTCCAAGATTATCATTGAAAATAAGAGGTTCGGCTGTTGATTATTCATGAATTCTGTTTTTGTGAATTACTTACTCATATAAATGCATTTTTCGTCCCCAGTCATTGTTGAGGGGCTGTTGTGCTCAGGTACAGAGATTCTGCCAGCAGCGAAGCACTGGCCTCCCCCAATGTGCGTGTTCACAGCTGAGGACCAGTCAGAAGCACTCTGCCTTCTTGATGTGTCTTGCAGAGAAAATTCAGAGATTCGATCCGCTTCATTCGGGAAGGAGTTAAAGCTCTGGTGTCCATCGGTGTAGTGTTAATGGATCAACAGTATTCGACCAAATGTCTTTTCAACAGAAACACACATAGCACACGGTTATAGATTGAGTACTTGATGAAGGTGTGGTGACCAGAGGCTCACAAGACCCTCACCCTGGATTTCCCAAAGAGCAGTGATTCACTAGTCCCTACTGCATTCAGCGTTTGTGGTGACTTTATAGAATCTAAGTATCAAGAACAGTGAGAGTCAAGTATAGTTCCTGCCTCCACAGTAAACACTGGCTAATTTGTGGTTGAAAATATTTTAGGGCACTGGACCGGGAGTACTGCAGGTCTTTGTCAGGTCCCCTCTTATGGGTATCTCTCCGCCTCAGAAGTCACTCAGCCGCCTCCCCGCAATAAATGTGCACCTGGCAGCCCCCACTGCAGACCTACCACAAACAAGATGGGCCATGAGGAATTAGCAAAGGCAAATATAAAGGAAAATAAGGGTGGTTCTACACCTGATTTAACTTTATTTTCTTTCAAGTAAATTTCACCCAATATTGGGTTTTCAATGTGTTCTCTACTTTGTATTCCTGATCAGCCAATAGCCTCTTTAACGTTCAAAGAGCTTTCTTTGAAAACATACATTCATAGAAAAGAGTTCCATTGATGCTCCCAAAATCACGGCACATGGGATTTTATTTAGTGGTAGGGACTATGCGTCAACAGATATAAATCGAGCATCGACATATTGTCCTACTGAGCCCTGTTTTGGCTTAAATACAGTTTCTCCCAAAGTGTTTGTAAGGTCCCTTTTGCCATGTTTCTTATTAGTAACCCTTTAAATCCAAAGTTTCTACTCATTTTTCTTTAAATATATACATAATACATATTTATATATACTTAATCTTATAAACATATATAATGTTTAACCACATATAATATATACTTATAGATTTAATCATATTATTACTTATAACATGGTTATATGACAATACATAAGTGACTTAATTATATATATTTGGTCATATATATGACTAGACAATTTAAATTAAAATAATTTAAGGCACATATTCTAGATTTAATCATATATTCAATATAATCATATTTATAATTAAATCTAGAGTAGGTAGCCCTGATGGGCACTATACTACTAAATGAAAGGTTAATAGTTCAAACTCACTAGCCACCCCATGAAAGAAAAATGCAGCTATCTACTTTCATAGATTTGAGGGTTTTTTATCAATTTATTGGGTGCTCTTACAGATATCATATAATTCCATAGTTCAATCGCATCACACAGTACTGTAATTCTGAAATCCTGAGGATCTGATTTCTCTCCCAATAGAGTTCTTATGAGGCAGAATCCACTTAATGGCACTGGTGAGAAATCTAGAATATTTGAAGGCAGGTTTGGAGATGAGATAACCCAGATTGGCTTAACCATATTTCTTATTTACTTTGCAGGATGCATAGCGGCCATGAAGGACATAAGCAGCACAGATCACAAACTTTACCTATAATTCGAGGCAAAAATGCACTTTCTAACCCCAAACTTTTACAGATGTTGGATAACACCATGAACAGTACGTACATGATATAGAAATGCTATAGACGAGGTGGTTACCAGTTTCCTGTGTAAGGCATAAATGTGGTTGAGTTTCCCCAAAACAAAGAATGTGGTGTAGCCACTTGAACCACACTTAAGGCTTGCTGTAGCCCTAAATATGTTCTTTAGGGGAAAGAATCATCAGGGGAGAAGATGGCAAAGCTCGCCTAATCTAGTCATTGTGAGAATTGTACACCTGGGAATAAGTGCCCTTGATGTAGAGAAGGTTCACATGGATAACTTTTCAGAGATCAACTTGTGTGTCTGTATTTTGCTTCATTTAATTTTGTTTTGTCTTATGGGCCTTACTGTTAATAGAGTTATAATTGTCCATCCGGTGGGAAGAATATACTAGATTTGTCCCTTTCCCAGAAGTAGCAAGCAGAACGTCTTGAATCTAGGAGAAGCACACATTCCAGCTCATGGATGAGAGTCGACGGGCCCAGTGTTTCATGGCCTATGTTAATACCTGTGGACACATGGCCCACAGAGTGACCTGGTGGAAGGTCTGTGACTGGGAGCTTAGAACTTAACCCAGCCTTGATGTAAAAGAAATATGACCATACTCTTGCCAAAAGAATATGGGAGGACTAAGAGATCAAGGAAAACGGGCCATTGTCATTTAGAAATCCAGTAGCTGACATCTGAAAAGGGCACACGGAGAGCTGTCTGGTTGTTTTGACTCTTCCAATAAGGAAATTAAACAAGCAAAAGCACTTTTATAATTATTAAGAATCATCAGGAGACCGAAGATGTCATAAGAGGTATTAAAAAAACCTTAGGGAACAAAGAACTAAATTTAAAGCCATGGTTCTCAACCTGTGGGCCGTGACCCTTTGGGGGTCAAATGACGCTTTCACAGGGGTCACCCGATTCATAAGAGTAGCAAAATGACATTTATGAAGTAGCAATGAAAAGAATGTTATGGTTGGGGGGCCACCGCCACATGAGGAACTGTGTGAAAGGACCACGGCATTAGGAAGGTGGAGAACCCCTGCTTTAACGTGATGTGCATGGTGTCCTTTTCCCCTTATAGGCAACTCCAATGAAATAGACATCGTCTACCATGTGGACACTGAAGCCAACATAGCGACAGAGGTTTGCCTCACTATTCTAGACTTGCTGTCTCTCTTCACCCAGATCCACCAGGTGAATATGATCCTAACAGTTTCTGAAAAAGGAGAACAAAATGGGAAGTATAAAAAGCACTCACATCATGTGAAAATGAGTTTCAAGAATGTCTCAGGAAATCCACTGAATGCACCTCAGTCAAATTACCCGAGTAGAAAACATGATAAGCATCAGATTCAGGTTTTAGCAGATGTTGACTGGTTGATAGACCCATGCCTATATTTCGCTATAGCCAGACTATGTTCTCAGTTTTTCTTCCTTTGCTATCATAGCAGCTGGGCTGAGTGAAAGGTGACTCCACAGTTTTCATCTTCAGTAGATAGTCTGAGTGCTGTTTGTTAGCTTACAGCTAGATTCAACAGACTGATAATGTTGGGAATTGTTTCATGTGCTTGCTCTCAGTGAATCAACCTCAGTGATATGAAAGCACTACAGACCAATTGGAATTGTTAAAAAAAATTAGCGGTCACACCAAGTCTTAACAGAGTTGACAAAGGATTAGAACTTTCCTTCGCCTGCGGGTGGAAATGTATGAAGGGTCTGAACACTTTGGGAAACAATATGGCAGGCTTTTTTGGTTTAGTTTCAAAAGCTAAACAGACATCAGTCATTTATCCCAAGCCAAACAATCTTCTGTCATTCAATCAGCCATTATATAGCCAAGGGAAAGTAAAACATAGGTTATCGAATCATAGCATGTGTTTAAACAGACTGACACATGAGTGTTCATAGCATATTTATTGTAATTCAAACTGGGAACCACAAATGCCTATCAATTGCTGATTGGATGAATAAAATGTTTACTAACAATAGACGATGATGCAGCGATAAAAGGAATTACGTATGGATGCATGTTGTAGGATGGATGAATCTCAGAATAGCTATGCTCAGAGTGAAAGGAGTCAAGCAAGAAGTAGGCACACTGCTTATTTCATTGTATAACATTTTAGAAAATGCGAACTTTAGAAGCAGGAAGTGGTAGAATGGAATGAGAAGGAGCACTGGCAGGCAGGGAAAACCAGAAGCCATTAGAAAGCATTTGGTCTGATGAATCTGGCCATTTGTTGATCATGGTGATGGGTTTATTGCAAATAACCATAACAAATGTATCAATATCTACTTTGAATAAGTGCATTTTACTGAATGTCAAATAGAGGTCATGAAAGCTATTCAAATGAGCCTTGGTAGAGCTTTAAGTTAGGCAGTGAGATATTATCTGTAACGTTGATGGTTCAAACCCACCATGGGAAAGGCTGAGGCTGTATGATCCATAAGAATTTGCAGCCCAGCAAAACCCTAGATGGGGTTTGAATCAACTCAATGGCAGTGATGCTTGTGAAAGCTGTTCAGTCATCCCACGGTGCCAGGCTAGTGCACTTGAGGCTGAGAGACAAGTTGCACCACTGAATATAATGTAGACCTCAAACAGAGAGATCCTACCAAGAAAGTGATTCTTTGGGGCCCCAAAGAAAAGTCACACAAATATCACATACAGTGAACCCTCGTTTATCGCGGTTAATCGGTTCTAGACCCTACCGTGATAAATGAAATTCCGCAAAGTAGGATTCCTTATTTGTAAATCAAATATTTTCGTAGTTAGAACATAGAGGACATGAAAAAACACCCTTTAGTCACCATTACACTCGTATTACCCAATTTATTAAACGAAAAAGGGAAAATACAGTAAAACATTTTGGACGTTACAATTATCATTTATTATTTATTATATTATTTATGGCATCAAGCATGTACAGTATGAGCCAATCAGTGGCAGTAATGACAGAGCATGCGCTGTTACGCAAAAACCGCGATAGAGTGAAGCCGCGGAAGTCGAAGCGCGAAGTGGCAAGGGTTCACTGTATTTTAAAGGCTTTATTCAGCCAATAGGAATTGCCTTGTGTGGGACCTTATCTCCAACCCCACTCACTTTTGAGCTTGCCTGTTTTTCTTTCACTGTGAACTCATAGGCTCTTTACTAGCCCAAGGCTCTTGCTCTAATTGTTTCTCCTGCACAGAACACACGCCATAGACCTTATTTGCAACATCTAGGTTGGTGCCTGCCAGTAGTAGCATCACAGTAATTACCTGCGGAAATAATTCAAGTGTCTTTAACACTTCCATTAATTAACTTCTCTGCTGTGTTTCCAGAGGCAACTCCAACAATCTGACTGTCAAAATTCACTGATGAAAAGGGTCTTTGATACCTACATGCTCTTTTTCCAAGTCAACCAGTCAGCCACGGCACTGAAACATGTATTTGCCTCTTTGAGACTGTTTGTTTGCAAGGTAAGGACCCTCTAGGTATGAGATGAGTGAAGCTCATCTGTGGAGGATAGTAAGCAAATATGAACCCCTCATCACTGAGGATGGAGGAAAGGCTTGGTTCCTTCTGCTTTCACCGCTTTTTATTTTAGGAACCCTGGTGGCTAAGTGGTTAAGTGTTGGACTGCCAACTGCAAGATTAATAGTTCAAGCCCACCAGCTATCAATGGAAGAAAGATGAAGCTGTCTGTCTGCTCACATATGATTTACAGTCTCAGATACCTCACTAATCTTGTTAGACTTATATGTGTTCATTTGTATAAATAAGAGCATCCATGCATGAAAGCCAAGATAGATAACCCTGTAGAAACAGTAACAGGCGTAATGATTCCCTGAAGTTGGTGGGGAGCGGGGGTGTGAATAGTAAGAAGAGGGAGCTGGTAGCAAGGATGACTGTGTAATCCCACTTGAGGGGAATGAATAACAGAATTTCAGGTGAATGGGTACATTGGATGGTGTAAGATATGGCAAAAAATAATCATAATATAGAACAATAATGGTTCCTGTGGAGGAGGGGAGGGAGAGGGATAAAGGGGAGCTGATATCAAAGAGTTCAAAAGGAAGAAAATGTTTTGAAACTGATGGTGGTAGCTATTGGAAAATTATGCTTGATCTAACTGAATTATGGATTGTTTTAATCTCTATAAGAGCTCCCAATAAAATAATTAATAATATAAAAAGATTTACAATCACAGAAACCCTAAGGTGCTGTTCTACTCTGTCCTACAGGGAGGGGCACTATGAATTGCAATGGACTCAATGACAGTGGGGCTTGTCTTTTCTCATTTTATAATACTTTGTTTTAAGGTCCCAAAATGAATTCATGCCCTGAAAGCTACTTGGATACCAAAAAGGAATAAAATCAGCATCTAGTCCCCCGGTTTTTGAATTCTCAGTATTTGTGGCATAGAGTTAGGTAGGACGCTCACAAGCGATGCCTATTAAAGCCAAGTTAAAGTACCACCTTTAAGTGGACGCAGCCACCCCTTTTCAGACCAACTAGAAATGATACCCATGGTTCCAATAATGCCTGGTAAATATAAATCAACTAAAAACGCTGATTCAGTGATATTGGATTGTATCAATTAGCTCCCTGGGTGGACAAATGGTTTATGCTCAGTTCCTAACCTAAAGGTTGGTGTTTCGAACTCACCCAGCAGCACCAGGAAAGAAAGGTGTGGAGGGATCTGCTTTTATCGAGATGACAGCCAAGAAAACACAGCGTAGCCATTCTCCTCCCTAACACCTGGGTCACCAGGAGTGAACTAGTAAGCAGCTAGCTTGTATGGGTTGTCATCAGTTATTGATCAAAATGACTTCTCAACAAGTAAGGGCATGATTCTATGAAGAGGAGAGAAAGATTCGCATTAACGTTGATCACTAAAAACGATGTCCCCTTCACTTTTAACTGGAAGGGGAAAGTAGGTGAACAAGGGAAGAGAGACTTGCTTCTGTGGAATTGGTAAAAGATGAACGTGAAACGAGGAACGAGCAAGACTCTTGCTCATGGTACTCATGCCTCCATGTCTGCAGTTCCCTTCAGCGTTCTTCCAAGGACCAGCAGACCTCTGCGGGTCATTCTGCTACGAAGTCCTCAAGTGCTGTAACCACAGGTCACGGTCCACCCAGATGGAAGCCTCAGCACTTCTATACTTTTTCATGAGGAAGAATTTTGAATTTAACAAGCAGAAGTCAATTGTCCGGTCTCACTTACAAGTAAGTGCAACCTCTTTCCATGGCTGCTTTTTGAAAAGCCACTGGTCTGTCTCAGCAGGGATGACAAACAGCTCTCCCCAGGGTGACCCGGTACCACCTTCTCCACCAGATGTCTCCTTAACTCTGCCCACCCCACGCAGTTCCTATTCTTCGGAAGAGCAGAGCTGAGAAGAAATCGACAGCTCCTGCAGCTCCACTTGGTATTTCCCTCACCTCACACAAGAAATGGAATCACGTGGCATGCAAGATTCAGGAAACGATGACTAGGGTGTCCAATCTGCCAAATTCTTAAAGGCCTAAAAGTACTTCTTCCAGGACACCCAATACTTTACCAACCTCCCTTAGTTACGGCAGAGAGATGGCATCACTGAGATTATTAGGAAAACCCAAGAGTCCTTGGTTTTCTGAGTTTACTGCATGCAGGTGTCATTCGCTGGCTCTTCAATGAGAAATCAATGCCAGTGTGATCAGACGCAGGTCTTTAAAGGTACTATTTCCAGGTGTTTTGTTTTTTTTAAGGTTCCTTTCTTTTTCTTTTTCCCTGCCAGCTCATCAAGGCTGTCAGCCAGCTAATAGCCGATGCTGGGATTGGAGGCTCTCGGTTTCAACATTCCTTGGCAATTACCAATAATTTTGCTAATGGTGACAAACAAATGAAAGTAAGAAATGCTTCTTTGTGGGATTTTTCTGAAGACTGAGGGATAAAGTGACAGGGATTGTCTTGTGGGAATTTCAAGCATATAGAAGGCCCTGGGTGGCAAAAATGATGGGTGCTCAGCTGGGAACCAGTGTGCACTCAGCTAAGGGCACTGAGGAAGCACCTGGGGTGGCAGTCTGCTTCTCTAACGATTACTCTCATGGAGAGATCCGTTTTGCAATACATGAGGTGCCCTAAGCCACAATTGTCAACAAAAACAAAGCCAACAAGAAAATACATGTAGTCCTCTATTTTTATTGGCACTTGAACTGAGCACTTCTATTCAGTTACTTATGGACAATTGATAACTATCTTCCATGTTTTCTGTTAAATGGAATTTCCAATAGAGAGTAGTGATGGATATGCAACAGTATAACAGTATAATATGCCAGAATCACAGGATCTACTCATGATACCACTCTTGCCCAAATTCAGCTCATCTTTTCTTTATCACTCTTTGAGGACACGTCTTTTAGTCATTAGCCTGGTATGAGATGAGTGAAGCTCATCTGTGGAGGATAGTAAGTTGAAAGGACCACGGCATTAGGAAGGTGGAGAACCCCTGCTTTAACGTGATGTGCATGGTGTCCTTTTCCCCTTATAGGCAACTCCAATGAAATAG